ATGCAGCACTCAGAGCAAATTGCTTCTGCCTTCCTTCAGCTATGGTAATTAAATACAGAACTGCCAGATGCACTGATCACTTGGGCAGCTCCTCTTTCAAGCAGCAGACACAAGAAGATGGCAAAAATGCCAATCTGCCATTTTATGTTACATTTCTTTTTTGTGCAATGAGAAATGTCATCAACTTTTGACAACCTAGTTTTATTTAGAAGCTACTGTATAACATACAGTAAGAAAGGAGAGAAGCTAGAAGATAATTCTGAGTAGAAACTGGATGTTTCCCTAGAGACTTTCACATGTTCTCAAAAATGTGGCTCTTAATAATCAAAAGGATTTCATACATCAAGTCTGATTTTCCCATTTTATTTTCACCTCATACACTATGAATCCCAGAGTAATAAAGCAGAGTTAGAGAAATGGCATTAATTTTATTTTCCTTTCAGCATCTGTCAGATAATTGATTCAAGTCTGGAGTTTATTAGAATCTAGAACTCTAGAATCTGCAGCTAACAAGTTTGATGCATATATTTACCTTTTACTTCTGGATTTTTTTTGCAAAATCCTAAGTCTATTAGCAAATAGAGAACTTGAAACTCCAAGGAAGCTGTTTAAACCTCTCTGAAAAAAACTGGCAACAATCTGTTTTATGAATCTGCTTGTCATGAAAGTCCAGCTGTGCACAAAAGCCCTTGGAGATTACATCACCGGCACTTCTGCTACAGAACTGCTACTGACAGGTAAACACTTTCGTATTTCAGTGCTTCCCTAAACAGCCAAGAAATTTCCTCAAATGACTCACTCCTGAAAAACGTCAGATTTTTATTGAACTCACAGTAGCCCAACTTTCTGGAAAATTGGTAGTGGATATTGCTTCATGGCTTTAAGTTCACTAGTCTAATGAGAAGTCTGTACCTTTCCTTGATGGCTTTTCAGTTTATCAGTTATGTGCAGTGCAGCACATGCCGTTTTTGGAACTGATCCACATTTAAGTTACTTACAGCAAACTGTAACAGCAAAATGGAGTCAAGTGAGAGAATGTTAACTCTGTGAAGCTGACAACCTTTTTGCTGTATTTCAGCCCAGCAATCCACCAGAAGGGACTTTGGACTGAATTAAAAAACAGAATTGTGTCATTGTTTGAACAATGTGATGTGAAACTCTTCCCTGTGCACAAAAATTAATGGACCTCACTGATAGAAAGCCTTGCTAATAAAAGTAGCTTTAAAAGTGAGAAAAAGGCCACAACAGCAGTTAACAAATTAGTTCTTTGTTGAAACTGAAGAAATAAGTTGTATTACTAACTTTTTTAATTCTAATACCACATTTCCCTAGAAGAACAGTGGAGACAGTGAAAAGTACTGAAATTATTTGTTTTAAAATGCTATGTTCAGTTTTCTTTATTTTACATTTGGTTTTGTTTAGGGAAAAATTTTATGGTCTTAATCTCAATTTTATGTAGAAATAAGTCAGAAAGGGATAGGTGATATAAGAAACTTAATTTCATTCATGAAAAATCTGTCCTTTGGGTTTAGAAGGCCTGGAAGATACAAAGATTAAGTAAAGTGCATCTTTGCAGCCTGCAAAAAATGAGGCTTTAAAAATAGCAACTTTTCTGTTCTTCATCCCCTTAGCTGACAGAGAGCAAGGACTAGATGAATATAAATATCAAAATGAGCCTAGAATGAGGATTCAAGCAGGACTAACTTTATAATGCTGTACTTTCACAATCACTTTAATCTGGCAGAAACTGGACTGCTTCTACAGAAAGTCACCATTCTTTCTTCTCCACATAAACACCCTTTCTTAGGCAAGCTCAGTGATTTTGACGCGGAACAGTTCCCTGGCTCTTGTTGACCAATCCAGCTGCGCAAATACCTACAGAGCCATGGAGCCAGAAACACGAAGCCAGAGAAAGGAAAAGTAAAACAGTTCTTTCAATAGCAATGCAGCCTAAAAGCGTTTCTAACATTACAGTGTCAGTTGCAGACACTCTCTTGGATAACTATAGCCAAAGGAGGAAAATGTCATGAAAAGTGTTTATCTAGTAAGAAAATGTAATGGAGATTAAAATCGCCAGAGCAAGTCCTATTCATCTTTAAAGAGGAGGGAGAGGTTTAATGCTTAAGATGCAAATTCTTTCTGACAAGATATAACTGTGCCTTTCCTTCACAGAAATGACAGAATTGATTATTTTTTATTTGGGGGGACATTTTTCTACTACTGCAACCCTTGACATAACGATTCCTTATTTCTCGACTTGATATAAAAAAAATTAAAAAGAAATTGTTGTTTCTGTATTTAGTTTGCACATATATCTAAGCGAAAGAAGATAGACTTTTACTGATTTCATTACAGAATCACAGAAGAGTTGAGGTTGAAAGGGGACCTCTGATCCAAGCCCCCTGCTCAAGCAGCGTCAGCTAGAACAGGTTGCCCAGGACCATGTCGCATCAGGTTGTAGCTATTTAAGTTGCATAAAAAAGCTATTAATTTCACCTTTTAAACACTAAGAATGTAATGTTTCTTTGCAGGAAATGCTTTGTGTTGAACAGATAGGACATTTAAGAACATTTTTACCTTTCACCTTCGTAATCTATCAGAGCTTTCAGGTTATGTTAGTAAAACAATGACATTCAGATAGAGTTTGTTATTTTGTATAGTCTAAATATGAACAATAATAGAAAAATATGCTGCTAAAAATATATATATATTGCTAAATTACATCAAGAACACACTGAAATAAAGTGCATTGTCATCTGAACGGAATCCAGATGTTATCACGCATTCGTACAAAGGGAATGAATATTTCGGTTTAGGACTTCCAAGATATTTAATTGTAACAGCTTGATTTTAATGATCTCTTTGCCAGAGTTTAGGCAGAATTTCACTACAGCTCATAGTCAAAAAGACCAACACAGTGAAGTTTCAACCTAGATTATACTTTTGAGCCCCACTGTAAAAGGTAATGAATGAAAGGAGCTACCAATTTAACCCATTTTTTGCCAGTGTTTAATTCAAAAATGTTTAGGTTGATTATCCTAGCAATTTCAAATAAAACTTGAATTATAATGACTGCATCTCAGACACCTTTTTAAAAAGCACCAGCAACAAGACTTTTGGAATGCGGTCTAGCTGGGAATACAGTTTTTATTGAATATTGGCTTTAGATAGATCTAATCTACTTAGCTTTTTGGGGAAGGGAAGAAGCTGCAATACTACAGTCAAGTTATATTGTTCAACACCTTATGCAAAAATGTTGTCAGAACACTGTTTAGAATGCAGAAGGTCTCCAGCCCACCCACCCTTTACTTCCTATTTGAAAAACTGTATGTTTTACTAAATAATACAAAAGTGATTCTGCAAACAAACAAGAAAAGAAGTTCTTTTTTTTTTTTTTTCAACCAGGGAAGTTCCCTAGAACATGCCCTAGGATTAAATGGAAAGTTTAGTCTCAATTTAAGAGGGGATGAGGTTGAACCTCCCCATATTTAAGAATCAAGACCACCAGGAAACTTTGATAGTTAACTCCCATATTTAGGTCCTCAAAAATCAGTGGTCAGCTACCATCTCAGCTACCTGAAAGCTACAAACATTTTCAAGACACAAGTTCCAAAATTCTGCTCCTGTAGCACGGTTGTGTTTCAGTCTCAAGAGTATCAATCAGTCCTCCAAGACAAATGTCACTTGCAGGACTTGCCGCTCTCTTAACACATCACTGGAAACTGAACAAACAAGGGCAGGTGGAAAGGTAAAGGATATAATTTCATTTCACAGCTCAGTGTTTAGAGAATTCAGATTTGGATTCAATTATTTCCTCAGTGTGAGGGAAAAATTCAAAATTGCAATTCTCTCCTTCCCAGTAAAATGCCCTAATCCTCCCTAAGAAGTGGTTTACCTTTCAGAGGGAAGCAGTAATAGGTCCTCTTTTTCCTTTGTTAGGACTGTTCAATTTAAAATAACGTATGCGGTTCCAGTAAACCTACTCCAGTTGAAGGAAATGCATGGTTAGGGCACTTCCTGTAGGTGAAAGATATAGTCTTATATCATCCTGGAAAAAAGCCCTTTTCATAAAAAAGGGCTAAGTGCTTTAACCACCTCCCCCTCAAAAAATTAGTTTCCATATGTTTTCAGAGAAAGATAACTATACCAAGAAAGGTTTCTAAACTGAATCCTGAGTTACGGAAGATATTTCCTCACAACCAGTACACGGTGTCTCATTTCAGGTGTGCCTAAAAACCCACACAGCATTTATTATCCCTTGTAACAGTTCCTTCCTTACTAAGCACGCTGTTCTCATATATCCCTTTCTTTGGCTAATGGAGTCCAATGGGGAACTAGTTGCATAAAATCAGATGCTGCCATGGTCAGTACTGTAACATCCCCATTTTGTTTGTGGAACTAGCCATAAGCAGCAAACCCAGAATGGCATATCCTGTCTTCAAAATAGGAAGATGTTTACATGTTCCCTTTGTGGAAATGAAATAAAATGAGCACCACTCAGAGGATGATTTACTTAATTTTAATAAAATATTGACACTTCTGATATGTATGCTAAGAAAAAAATGGTACTGGAATAGCAAGCCTACTCTCTACCTCAGTGTTCCTTAAAATGTTTTTTTGTGTTTTGATTAACCCCACCCCTTATTTTTCATATCTGTTCATATTTACTGTGAATTAAAAAATATATATATACATAGATATCAAGTTTAATAAAAAGTAGGCTGCCTGCAGGTGGAAAGGATGTACTCTGAACCTTCATGTTCAGGCACAGGAGATCTCAGGCTCATGGTTTCAAAACTTTCTTCACCTTTTTTTGGTGTATGCATTTATTTTGTCCCTGAGGCAGTGGCACACTGATAGAGAAACCCTATTCTAACCCTGGAATGGGGGGGGGGGAGGGGGGGAAAATCACGGAAAGGGCACAGAGATTTCCAGAAGAACTAAAAAATACTTATGACAGAGTAAACAAATCCTTACAGGAAAGAAAGAATCAACAACTGTTTCTGATGCTGGCAATACATATTTATTATCATTTTGGAGAGAGGTTACCATGTACGCATCTGGACTTCAGACTGAAAAACAAATCAGGATTGTGAACTCTTACCATATGCCAGTTGGAATTTAAAAGAATGGAATTGAAAGCTGACCTTTAAAAGACTTTTAGTTGGTCTGCTTCTGCCCTTTCTTATTAAACACTGAACATTCTCTCCCCCCCCCCACCCCCCAGCCTGTTTCAATCTCAGAAAAATAAAAGATCATCAAAATGCAGCTTTTTATAGTTTTGCTAATGATCTGCTGGCAATCTCCGAGCATTTACATTGTTGATTCCAACAACTTCAGATGAAGACTATCCTTTAAAAGGCATGTTCTTCCTTCACTTTAATTGGGAACAGCGCCCAACATGAAGGACTAGACTTAAGTAGATGAAAGGTTTGCTTATAGACTGTTGTGGTTACATTATTATGGTGCAAGTCTTCAACATATGCACTTTGCTGTTACAGAATAAGCTGCATCAGTGCAAAATCCAAGAGTCCGTGCAAAAGAAGCTACAGTGCTATAAATTCTTGAAATACCTTTCCTCACTTATTTAACATCTCACTAGCAATTCTTCCTCCCACTAATTCTATCTAATCTCAGATATTACCCCCCACAAAGATACTTCATGCTTTTATACAAAAACAACCCCAAAGAATAAAACAAAGCCTCCCAACACCCCCACAGAACCCCCCCAAAGGTCAAAACTATTTGCTCCCCACCATCTCCTAGTTTTTTTTTTTTTTTTAAGTCATCATTAAAACAGATGCATATCATGTATTATACAAATATGAAGCTGCAGGCATTCAAAATACAGAACATTCTGATATTTCAAGCATAAAAAGTACGCTTAATAATTGCAAAAATAAAGTTTCACTTTTCTAAAAACATTTTGATCAGAGCTCAAGCGAAACAAACATTTAACTGTAACTTCAATAGAACACCTTCAAAAGTTAAAAACAAAAACTCACAGATTTTTGGTGATAAAGTAACTGACCATGTCTTTTAATGAAGAGAAACCATATATATAACAAGAGCACAGACCTTAAGCATCAACAGCATATTTTAGCCAAAAGGAAGTCTACAGATGATCCAAATCTTTCTTAGTATCAAATGGTACCGATTATCAAGAACTATAATTCACTAGGAATAGATAGACTGGTACGAGTGGAAGGAAAGATCCAAGACTTCAAACAGGCTCAGTTTTTGTCACTGAACTTCTTTTTAGGCTAACAATTTCACTAGTGCAAGACCATATGTTTACCTGATTAAATGAAAACTCATAAATGTCACAATTTAAGAACACTCATACAAAACTATTCTTTTTTTTTTCTTTTAAAAAAGTGCCACATACCATACTTTTACTAAAAAAGTTACAAACTAATGGAAGACTGTCTGCCTCCATCTCTTGTCAACGAGGAAAGGCCAAAGTGATTCTTTGATCCCAGCTCGAAATGACGTTCTCTGACCTATCCCCAGCATCTCCAGCTTGGAGCAGTCTAGCTGAGCGTTCCTTGGACGAAGAGCACCCAAAACCGGGCAATCAGTAATCTTAGAAACAAATAAAGAAAAAGCTAAAAATGGCAGGAAAAAAGAAACTCATTTAGAAGTTCCCATTCACAATTTTCTACATGGGTATGCTGTATCGTTCCCCCCACCCCATATGGCATGTTTTACGGTTAACTTCATTTTGAGAGAGAGAGAGGTATCCAGCACAAAGATGTAAAGTTTTAAGTCGTTAATTTCTTCCTCACTCGATTACTGCTCACTACCTATGCTCCTCTACCTTTTGTTCCTATTACTGCCCTATGACCATACTCAAGAGGCAAAACATACCCTAAAAACATTGACAGAACCATGCCTTAATCAATATACTTAGATAATTTCGTTTTGGGAGGCAGAGAGAAATTAGACTAACTTACTGTTCTGCATTCTTTTTCTCTCCCTCCTCCAAGCCACATATTAGTTCCAACTTTTGCAAATTCAGAATCCTAGGAATTTATTTTGTATCCAAAGAAAAACTTAATTTTAATATAATGTTAAATTCTAATAACACTATCAGTATGTCTTTTAAATTAATCTTATTTTTTGATTGTCAATACTACTGCAAGCCAAGTGTCTGTTTTAAGCAAAGTAAAATGATTTGACGGTTTTAAGTGCACGAATTCAGAAATAAATCTGGACTCTGAAAAGTTCTTAAAGATTCCTACCTTGAAATTAACACTCTGTGAATCTGTAAGCTTTTTTAAGGACAAAAAGATGACAAGGAAAAACAGATCTATTCACTGCGAAGGGGAACTGTTCTGCAGAAAGGCCATTACACAAAAGACTGATAATCCAGTTACTGACTAAGTAATTTTCATAATCCAGTAGGTCAAAGTAGCTTTTGTTTTCCTGAGTTAGATACCAAACGGCATCCTCAGCAATATATCTGCTGTGCTGGACATAAACATTCAATGATCCTGAAGAGGCAGCTTTCTTGTATAGCCACTACTTCTTGAAATGATAAAGTACATCCATCTTTCTACAGCTCGTACACTTACTGGTCGCAAGTGGCTGCTGGGAAGGTTGAAAGCGTCTGCAATCGCACATGCCATTTCATACTTAGTCATCTGCTCATTGCCAGACCAATGAAATATTCCTTTTACTGATGGGTCCTAGGAAGAAATGAGAATCACAAGTGAAGAAGCACAGCTAGCCCTCAGACTGATTCCTGTGCAAGAATGTGGGCAGACCAAGCTTCCGACAAGACCCTGTTCTGACAGGCGTGTTACATCACCTCACTGAAATGTTCTGGGGATGACTCGCGTATTTGCAGAGTACACTTGATTAGGGAATGAGACTGGAAACTGGTATTACATATATCTGACCTCACTTTTCAGAAACAGCTTGGTTTGTGTAGCATGAATGGCAGGAAAACCAACCAACCCAGGTTAAACAGCCGGGAGAAGGAATTCAGCTATTCTATATTATTCTTTTACTCTAAGCCAAATGCAAAAGATACCACAGAAGCTCTCAATGATAACCTGAAAATTCTACAGATCACAGCCCCATGCCCACAATGTGCGTGTGGAGGTCTGTTTTAACGTATTTAGAGGGGGAAAAAAATATATGCACATGCATATGCACACACATATTGAAATATATATATACACAGACATATACAGACACACATATGTCTTTATATATATACACACAAAGAAACAGAGACGGAATGGATCTCACTACTGTGTTTGTCATCAAAACTACAATTAATTTACCTTATATTACCTTTATTAGCCTGCCACTTAACTGTAGCATAATCTTGCTAGTACAAAGGTTGAAAGTTACAAGCCAGCTTTAGATAGTCACTTCTCAAAGAGGTGGGAAATGCTGAAAGTTACACTCGTTACAGACTTGTCCCCTGCTTTCTCCAGTTTGGAGTAGAGAAAGTGTGCAAGATAACTGGTTTATTTCAAACAACATTTCGACAGCAGAAAGGCTATCGTCACGAACAGCAAATTAAACCTGGCAAACAGCTCTCAGGAATAACAAGTACTCAGAGCATACCAACCACAATTTGGGACTTTTTTTTTTTTTTTTCCTCCTCCTCCTTCACAAAAGTAGTGATCTTAAAATATTGTAGTGAATAAATGCAATAAAATATTCAAGTTTAATGGCTCATCTTTGCTACTTCAATTTTCTTGACAAAACATTCAAGGACATCTTCGTGAGTTGCACACAATCACCAAAATAACATACGCCTTTTTAGTCAAAAAGAGCATATTAGAAGGCTAGGCATATTAGAAGGCATATTAAGAGTTGGCTAGGTATTTCCTTTTCTCTCCTGCATATTAGAAAAAACATAAGTTTTCAGACTGATCTGTCCTGTCACTCTTCCCGCTTTTGTTTAAAAAAATGAGAGTAACACCACAGCCATGTAAAGGGAAGGTACTGTTGTTGTGCAGATATTTCACCCCTCCCTACCCCTTCCAAATTGTTCCAGAAATAGGAAGAATAATCCAGGTTATATACAGTTCTCAGTTTTTCAGAAACAAAGACAGGAACTCTGTTTTTAGCCTGAAGAGGCTTTTTTCTTCAATTTCTTACCAGCATTCTCTTCTCTGCTAGTTGTCTACAAACAGCTGCTACATCCTTGACATTAGTAGGAAATCTTTGTTGCCAGTGGTCCATGTTGGCCGATTTATTACTGAACTGGACTTTATCAAACATAACAGTCACAGCACTTTCCTCCAGTCTTTCTACTTCTCCATACAAGATAGGAACCCTAAGTACTGCAGCATCTAAAAGGAAGAATATTTTAAGAGTATTAGCAGTGTTATGAATAGGTATGAATGCTGTAACATAACCTGAAGGATGTTTTGAAAGTGTAAAGAAGCATCCTGGTGATATTATGCATGTACAAATCAAAAAGAAAACGCAAGTACTATGTTTGTCCTCAGATTATCATTTTGAGTTTAGCTCAACGAAAACAATTTATAAACAGTAAGCTTATATGAATTCATTCACATGTATTACCTTTGATTTCCACAGTTTGAATGAGCTTTCATTAACACAAAAGAAGAGAGGGGAAGGAAGAAAAAAAAAAAAAAAAGCGCCAGCACTTTTTGGATGCGTTCTCCAGCATTCTCTGCTCCCCTGGGTAAGGGCAGGAACAAGAACTCACACAATTCAATTCCAGCCAGTTTGGGTAGAATCCCAAATTTCACCAATTACAAATGACTGTATTCAGGCATCAATTACAGACCAGGATTTTTCAGCAAGCACGCAGAAATCCCCGGCATACAGGATGATGTTCAGGATATTATTTACCAGAACAAAGAGAACCTTGGAATCGATAAACGTAACAATTAAGGAATAGGTTCAAAGCACAGCAGCAAATAACATTAGATTTCAGGAGAGTGAATTGAGAAAAGAAACTGACAGTAAGCAAGTGCAAAGAGAAGGACATTTTATGAAAGGCTAGGTTATATTACTACATCTCAGTCATGAAGACACAAAAGCCTGTTTGAGGGGAAATCCAAGAAGGGCTTAATAAACATTCATGAGGCATAAGGCAGGTATTTTCACTTAAAAAAATTTGTCCATCCTCTAATTAAAGTAGGATTCACCTAATCATTGCAATTCTTAAGAATCTGTAGGAAAATGCTATGAGTATTAGAAAGACAATAAGAAAAGCTAACACAAATTATTTCTACAGAAAAATAAAAAGAGACAAGTACTCACACAAGAAAAACAAATACAAAAAAAGCCATGACATGGGGTTCCTGCTGCTCTAAAAACTGTTATTTAGTCACACAACAAGTATGTTCCTCCTCATGTTATATATTGCTTAAATTTTCTCTTTTAGAATATTTCACAGAATCACAGAATCGTTTAGGTTGGAAGGGACCTTTGGAGATCATCTAGTCCAACCTCCCTGCTCAAGCAGGGACCTCTAGAGCATATTGCCCAGGATCACATCCAGGCGCGTTCTGAATACCTCCAGGGAAGACGACTCCACTACCTCTCTGGGCAACCTGTTCCAACGCTCTGCCACCCTCACTGTGAAGAAGTTTTTTCTCAGGTTTAGGTGGAACTTCCTGTGGTTCAGTTTCTGCCCGTTGCCTCTTGTCCTGTTGCTGGGCACCATGGAGAAGAGATTGGCCTCATCCTCTTGACACACCCCCTTCAGATACTTATACACGTTTATGAGATCGTCTTTCAATCTTCTCTTCTCCAGGCTGAATTTGTAGAAGTATTCACCAGCTGGGAAAAGGACAACCTTCTTTTGGCTCTCAGAGAGTGATCTCAGACTTGAAAAGGACATAAGCTTCACTACCAGTAGTTCTGAAGACCTGCTGAAGCTTTTTAGTTTTATGAGCATGAGTACTAAACGTAAGTGGCAACCCCTCCTAAGCAAAATAAAATACACTAAACGATTAGCAGAGCTTCTTACATTGCGTAACAGAAATTACTAGGGAAGATCTTTGCACAACTGCAGATTTTTGATAGACTGAATCCTGTCTGTACCGTATTAGCAAATTAATGGCTGGAAGACTAATGCATGTAACATACCTACATTTTAATGAAAGAACAGAATTGAGAGTTTCAAGTATCTTGCTCAGCACCATCTCAAAACTCCTTCTGTTAGTAATACCACTGCTGCAAACCATTACTGCCTGAAACCATGCTCAAAAAGGTTATGAAACAAAACTGAAGTGTTGAGCTGGGGGAAGGATCCAGCAAGATACCCACATGTATTTGAACTTGTTGCAGTCTTATCTTCACTACCAATTTAGAAGAGGGAGCAAACAGCATCACAGTTAAATTCAGAGGTGATATTTAAATAAGAGGTGGAGTGAATACTTCTCATTTAAATTGATTTTTCCTTAAATAAGATTTTTTCCATTGAAGAAATTTTTAAAAGTTTGTAAAAGTTTAAAAAGTTTCTTAATAGTAACGACAAACCTATATTAAGGCCTATCGTTTCCAAAGATAGCATATATTTACTTAGTGAAAGAGCACACAGCAATTTATGAATTGTTCAATTATCTAGTTAGGCAGAGCAGGATTACAGTGTGAGTATTATATTGACTTTTCGCATTAGCAGCCTCTTCTGCAGGTGCACAGAGACTATTTTCTTCAAATTCATTGAAAAACCAGAAATGCTTCTTTTCTTACAATCTGTGAATGAAAACTAGATTTGAAGATCAGATCTGACAACATGCTAACTAGAAAACGATTAATCTTCCCCTTTAAGAGATGAGTTTTAAATTCAAATTAACACATTCAGTCCTAAGCTTTTTTATTTATTAGGCAAACTTTTAAAAATTGTGTGTATATTTTGAATGCCAATTTTAATAAAAAAAAAATTTAAATCAAATTAAAAAAAAAAAAGAGTTGCTTAAAAATGAAATACGTTACTAATCTTTTAAGAAATGTTAGAACTAGGAGTGTAGTAAGCTAGGTGGATGAAAATAAAGTGGACAGCCTGGAGACCAGGGAGAAAAGCAAAAGAATAGCAGCAAGAACGTACGCTGATTTTATCTGCATTATTATTCAATCCTAAGTGTTCTTCCTTAAGATAAACATACATCCTTAATGATTACAATACATTCCCCTTCATTACTGCACTTAATGTATAGCTGCTGTTAAGTTTGTGCCATTAAACACATTGCCTAGTTTAAATTAACTATTTTTAAAGGAAAATAAAATGTATCATCAAAGGCCTGAGAACATCCATCAGCAGAGGCTAACAAGGCAAATGACAATCAGCACAAACAGTAAGAAATAAAGCTACAGTAACCTATAAGCAATAGTAAACCCCTACAGGCAAGTAGAACGACTTCTAATTACATTCTTTTCTAAATCTCGTTTCCATAGTTTTACACTGTTACTACTATGTTATACTGTCTTATGAATCTTGAGCTAATATACAACTAAGTATGAAAAGTATGGGAAACCTGTACCAAAATTTTCCAAGTGTATTCTTACCTTCATTATTTTCCAGGACCGCCTTTTCACCTTCCAGTTTTGTTTTACCATACAAATTCAAGGGATTTGGTGCATCAGTCTCTTTATAAGGAGGACTTGTTCCATCAAATACATAGTCTGTACTAATGTAGACCAGAAATGCTCCAATCCCAGCTAGGAAGAAAACGTTCATACGGAGTTCATCTTAATTCACGTCTTGTTGGAATCTCAATAAACCTTCAAATAACGCTCCAAAATACCCCCTCTTCTAGCCCTAATCATTCCCTCTGTTTGTCTGTTCACTGACCCTCCACATACACACGCCACTATCCTAACAGAAAAAGGACCGACTGCATACTACTAGCAAAAAATGACACTTAGCATTTTAAGCAACTATTCATATTTATGTTCCTGTATAAATAAATGAAGTGTCCTGACAAGAAAATAAATCCATGAGGTGGTCTCTTTACCTGCTTCTTTTGCTAAGTTCCCTGAAGCAGCCACATTGAGCTGAGAAGCAGCATCTGGTTGACTTTCTACAACATCTGGCCTTCTCTCAGCAGCACAATGCACTATAACATGAGGCTGGAAATTAAAAACTAATTTTAAACAAGGAACATTGTCAAGATACTGCAATTGCACCTTAACTCTAGAGATCAGCTCTCTCAGACAAAGAAGCATTTCACTAAGTTGTGACAAGTAATAAAAGTACCACCATTATTTTTAATTATGGTATTCTGAGGAGTGTGTTTTCCTTAGGAAATGAAACTGAATCAAGCTGCTTCAAGATTTCATATCAAAATACCAAAAAAGCCTGGATCGTTAGTTTTGCAATCACAATCTTCAGTAACTTCAATCTTACAGAAAGATTTTTTCTAAACTCAGCATAATAGAAAACATAGGAAAACACAACATCCTGCCACACATAAGTGTACTTAAAAAAAAAAAAAAAAGAGGCATTAAGTAAACTATTTTTAGACAAATCATTTACACGTGGCTTATCTGACACATGCAGACTATTAACAAGATACTTAAAGCTCTTTTCTAGAGTGGTTCTCTGCACAATCATAAATTTCAGGTTTGAAATATTCCCCTTACAAGTTTGGTTGAAAACGCAGTGTATTTCTTACTGTACTGCAAGCAAAATACGCAGTTATATGATGCTGTGTTCAGGTATTCTTCAGCATCAGAAGAACTACTTCATACTAACATGTTTATCTTTTTCTTTCAACTACCAGTGCATGTGTACTGACACACATTTTGTGGTACCTGCTGTATGTATGGTTGTGATAAGCAAAGTTCAGAACAATTTGCACCTACAGAGCAAATCTATACCTTAGATACGGAAGAAGGGGCAGCTGCCTCTGATTTTTCAGAGCTCTGTCACAGCACTACCTCCACTAAAGCTACAAGAACTGTCAGACAGCATTATAAGCTGATTACTAGGAAACATATAAATTATGTTTATAATTCTACTTCATACTCCAGAAACTTACCTGAAAATCATGGATAATGTCATGAACTGCAATAGAGTCCAGAAGATTAATCTGTTCAAATCTGGGCTGAGCTCTCCTATATCCACAGCCAACTGCGTTCCAATTGTTTCCATTGAATTCTTTAAACACAGCTCTGCCAAGAAGTCCCGTAGCACCAGTAATCAAAACTCGCCTACTGGGAATATCAACATCTTCCTAGGGAAACAAGAACAGAACATTTTATTTCTATTGTTACTTACTGCTGAGATTTTTTTTAAAAAAGCAAGCAAGGCTGCAGTCAGTGCAACTGTATTAAATAGCTTTCTTTACTACATAAGTATTTTGGATTGAGTGTCTCATGGAACACTAACACATGGGAGCAGGGATACTGTACTGAGTAAAGTAGTTATGCATATTCCTGAAGGTACTAAACACGGAACTCAAACAGGAAGCTAATTTACTTCTATGGGGGTAGCCTCCTCCCTCCCTCCCCCCCCCCCAAAAAAAAACCCAAACCCAACAAACACTAATGAAGACAAACTCAAAGGACATAAATTAAAGTTTATCAGAATTTGATAACTCTATAAATTGAAATGAGGGAGCTGATGTCTTCTGAAAATCGACCCAACATATTTTGAAGATTTAGCGCCTATACGCTGCAATCATTTATTTTGGATAGATTGTGCCCAGCAGAGGCTGCAACATCCGCAGTACACCTCTCCCTGGGCCTATCAACAATGACCATGAAATTTAAAGATCTGAATTTTATTATTAAATAGAACAAGAATTCATCATTATTTTTAGACCAACGTGTTGGCCTAAACCAAGATGAAGCTCTCTCTTCTTAGTTTTACAAGAAGCATCCCACAGTGATCCGATTATATGAACTCTCCATCAGCACATCATGTGAAAACTTTACTTCAAGTACAGCACATTCAGTGCTTGAGACAACTGCATATGTATCAGTTTACACAAAGGTCATTGGTCTTCCCTGCCCCCAGCAGATCATCCCGTTCTCAAGACAGGAAACATAAGATTCAGGGCTGGCTGCACAATTTTAATTTTCCTTGTATGCCTTCCTTCTGCATGAATCACGGCAGGAGAGTCTGCTAAAAACAAAAATAACTGCATACGCTCATATGTAAACACAGAACAAAATTTCACATGTACAGAATCCACTAACCTGGGATTTCCTGACCACATCATAAACAAGATGAATTTGTGACAATGGGTTATATTTTTGTAACGGTTCTTGGCTATGCAGTTCTAACAACACACTAACCTCTGAGCACTTCAGCGCTGCAGCGCACCACTGCCTTTTGACCGTTGCACAGGAAGCAACAGAAGCTGTTTCTAAGCTGCTGTCATCCCTCACCCTTAACGTCAGAAAGCTTTCTTCCACACGGGTACACGGTGGGGTGCGTTATGGAAACAGCCTATCCCAAAACAATTGCTTGACGTTCTCAGGACATTGCATGTATTTTCTACTGGTATAAAGCTTTGGACAACTTGTTCCCATCAGTATCAGATGAAAACTAGTAATTTTACCCGGACTGTTTCAGCAAAATGACAAACTACAGCAAGCGGTGTTTAAAAAGTTATATATAATCTCCCCAGTCAATTTTACCTCAAAACACAAGTTTATTCACTATTTTTAAGGCTGTCCAAGTTTCTCTCAAGAGCATAAGCAAGAACATGCAAGCACTGATTTATTTTTTCATGTACTTTTTATCTTGGCAGACTTTGTACAGATTGTCATAGGATAGTGCTTCTATAGCTAGAGGTGTCCACTAATAAACATCAACGACTCGTTGCACAAAAGAGTTGACAGGTTCACAAAAAGATTCACAGAAAATTTTTAACAAATAGCAGCAAACGGCAAAAACATGTCACTTGTAAAATCTGTTACTCCTAAACAATGGCATTTATCTAAGTTCGTTTATTCTATATGTCAAAAATAAGGTATTATGTTAACAGCACAGTGTGAACTGAACACAATCATGACTTTTACCACGTTACACGCGGTTTGTGTCCTGTTGCCCTTCTCTGCAAGACTAACAGATTTTGGTTAATTGCCTCTGGGTGGCCAAGATAAGTGATAGATGCTTCCCATAAATTCAAAACATAGTCACTACCCGTGGAAATTATTCCACCTTGCCAGAAGTCAAGCGATCATGAAATAGAAAACCTCTGCAGATTAACCCTTTCCTCAAGCGTTGCCTTGCTCCTTCACAGAAAGCCTCGCGGTACGACAGCCTCCCCCAGACCTGGGGACCGCAGCCGACAGAGCTTCCGCGTCCGCAGAGCCCCGAGAGTCGGCGCTCCCGAGGCGGCTGCCCACCTGCACGGGTACGGAGCACCACACCTCCGCAAGACTGTCCGTAATAGTTAATGACTTAATTCCTACAAAATAAAAATGTAATTCCTATAACTTGTTCCATCTTGAAGAAAGTTAAACCAGCAAAGCCCCCAGAAGAAGGGGCAAAAAAACTACAGCTACTATCTTATAGCCTCTGTACTTCACTGAAACTACATATAGTGCAGCATCTGTATTTTGTTAATTTACAACGTTTTTCCTTAAATATGACTGGAATATTAATAACATAATGCAATTCAAACATCAGACCACTTTTACCTGTTAATCTAACAAGCTAGAAAGTACACCTAAAGACCAATTTCCAGTTATTGTATAGACAATAAGACTATTTTATAGACAGTAGACTATATGTAAAGAATACAGAACATTCTAGAATTTGAATGTTACTCTTTTACCTGTGAGTTTTACAGCTTTAAGAAATACAAGTTCTTACTCAGATTAGCCTAGCTAACGTATCTTTTAGTCATGTTCCTCAACTCCGAAGCAGTCAATCCCATTCAAAGTCATCACCTTGTAATACCCAAGAAGTTCCATTAGCACCTAATTTTGAATAACACTCCCACCCAAATACACAATTTTTGAGCTCTACAATAAAGTAAAGACAACTCTGTTGTGTTTTATCAGCTGTTCAATATTCCCTGAGGATTAAAGCAACGAAAATGAAATTCGAAGCCCTAGCTAGGGGATAATCTGATTTCTTAACAGGAGGCTGAAGTCAAAACGAGAGGAACTGCTCTTAGCAGTCTCATTCACAGCAGGAAAAGAATATGCAAGCAATAACACTGAACGGAAGGTGAAAAAGCAGTATTTAAGAAACCTAAGATTACTTTGTAGATACTGCTCAAGTATCAAATATGATTTTAAAAAAAAATCAAGTATCACATGTTTCAAGATCAAAACTGAGATGTAAGTATTTAAGTTCTGTGTAAAGACCAAACACACAATCAGGAAATTGGCAGTACAAAATCATGACGAATGCAAAAAGTTTCAATTTTAAGCAATGTTCACTAGAAGCAGGAGCTACTGGGATAACAGAGTTTTAAAACATGATAGATAACGACCAAAATAAAAAATTCCCCAACAACACGTAACAGAACAGGGAAGTCACTGCCAAAACCGAGTTCTTCATTCAGCTATGACATCATCGTCCCCTGGAATAAAAAACTACCAAAGAACCACGAGATTTTCCTGAGTCTCGTACTAAAAAGTGAATATGCATATTGACCTTGACAAGAAGTTGCTATACGTTTAACATACCCTTCAAACACTTACAATTGCAGTAGTTAAAAACTACACCTGTTGAAAATTATCAGCAATAAAATGGAATAGAGTGAAATAAAATTTATTTAAATAAAAACAATTACTTGGGGAATTACTGTAAAATATGCTTTATTACAAATAAAGTAACTTTATCTAGGTGTACGGGACGCTAAAATTAAGCGAGGGTCAACAAGCGGGCTTAACAGACCTAATTTTGTGCTACAAAGCAAAAAAAACCGTGCAGCTAGACATCAAGTTATTCAAATCCTGTGACATGTAGAGGGGAATTAAAAACAAAACAAAAAAAAGCGTCCCACGCGTTGGACGTCCGTCCCTGCTAAAAACGGCCAGGCTTCGCTCGCAGCGAGCGGGCAGCGCGGCCGCCCTGCGCTGCGCGTC